AAAAAAAAATGGCTCGTTTCTGCACATTTGATAAATGGTGAGTTATCAATGCCGGCTCATCCAACAACGGCATTAATGGTACGATCTTACTGTTGATCTAATTTCACTCGCTGAGATTTCCCGGCTACACCTCGTAGCAATAATGGGTAGATGGATTCCAATTATTCGAGTGTCTTGCACAGGGTTCGTGAAGCTGAGCATGAGAGTAAGGATTCACAAAAGAACCCAATGATGCCATAGGTAAGCGACCCCCAGATGAGAATGTAGTGGTAAAAACACTTTTCAGTAAATGCAAATAATATTACTTCGTGCAGTGTCTGCAATCTATACCTCTTAGTAGCACTGCGTCACATAACACGCGTCAACGTTCTGGCCATAAAAAGATTGCTTTATCCTCTATACTTTCCTGAGTGGATGCTATTTTCTGTCCCTTTCTTTTCACCCTATGATCTTGTTAATTTCTGAAGCCAAATCACGATCCCACTCCCACGAGCCAGCAAGATAGTGAGCACTCTGTTGTAGACTCAGCAGCGTTTTGACGACCCCCTCTTAGCAAAATATCCGCTGTTCTAGAACAGCGGCACAATTCTCAACTATTAAGGGTACGCAATGCGATGGCGCAGCTCAAAGAGCTTATCCAAAATGTGTCCTGTCTCACTTCCAGCTGTTCCGGCGTACGTAAGGAAATATTCAATTTGCCACCACAACCAAGGGAGCTCATGTAAGCCGGTCGCAAGAGGGTTGTTCTCCGTTTGCACTATCCAATCACCTACTTTCTCGTTGAGCGGTTGTTGGGGAAATGACGTTAATTATTCTCAAACTATCGATCAAGAAAGATAAAATGTCAAAGTATGCATGTTCCTGCATACAAAGAGTCGGGCTATGATCGTAACCAATTACAACTTACCTTGCTGGCGGGTTATAGCCACCATTCCAATGCGCAAAGTGTCATACGCTGCCAAGAATCAACGAGCTGACCTGGTGGAATGGCACAGAGATGTGTTCTTAAGAATGTTTGATGCTTTGAACTTGTAATGGGGTTCTACGTGACCTGATATGAAGTGTGAAGTTCACACAATATGGCACGATCACAAAATGGTGTGGGTTACACATGATGATGTGAAAACACAATGGTGTGGCTACACTTAAAAAAGAAACCAGTACGTGGCTGGAACAGCCAGCAGTTATACATTTGATTAGGTTTTACTATTCAATTAGGAAAACCTATCGATTTAGATATAGGCGACTTTCTCGCAAATAAAACCGAGAAATACAGTTTCCATTTTTAAAACAGAAGAGTTAGTTAGTCTTGGGTTAAGGTTGTAATTACTCTTGGAGTAAGCGCATTGCGATCCGCTGTACTCGTTCTAAGTATAGAACGAGGGTTACCGACCTTATCCAAACTATCTCTAATTGAACGAGCTACAAAAGCCCCGCTGCGTCAGCTGTACACCCTGTATAGTTGTATATCCCCCTTCGGTTCTATTGTATCAGAACTGGGAGTACTTTACACATTAGAGAGATTGAAAACGTATTGACTATAAGAATAAATGTCATTTCACCTTTTCTCCCTTCAACGTAAGACAACGGCTTGTTGGGAGCGACCAACACGCGGTTAGGCGTGTCACTTGACCTAACCTTTCTAAGAAAGTGTGTGTACACGAAAAGGCAATTCCCAATACATATCATCACCCGTCACACTATCGCTAGTAGCGCTCAGATGAACTACAAAGACCACAATATACCGATATTTCTGAGCACATCTTCTAAGCGACCGATATAAAATTCATATGTTTGGACCGCCAGTTTTCAGCCGGGACCGTCAGCTTGCCCAAAGATGTCACCGCATGCAGTGAGAATCGATCCTGTTGATATGTTTCACATATGTGTTTACCCTTTCGAACATGTTGTGCCACCAATACACAGCGCTCACCGAGTAGTATGACTTTTCTCTTTCGTGGTGGGTGTATCATGTGCCTCGTACAAATTTTCACTTGATTTTTTTATCATGAGGCACCACTTTACGCTTTATGCACGTGGGTCAGCGCTATAAAACATTACGCCCATGCATAAGGTATAGTGGACAATCGTGCAGCCACACTCATCGATAAAGCGACATCTAAATATGCAAACTTTTTGTTTTCAAAGCTTTCAGCAGCGATATATATGCTGCGTTTGACCCGCACAATGTATGTATTACCACATGAATTGCTACTATTGCCATCGTGACATGCAACAATTCATAGTTGGGGCAACGCGAAAGCACAATCGCCAACACATTAAGCCGGCCCGGCCTAAACAGTATAACCATCTTTCGTTTCTCTGTTAGGACTGTGATGGCAACTTAGCTGTGCGCAACGACGAATAGTCTGTATAGATAAGGCCTGGTTTAGTTAAGGCTTTCCAAATATCAGATCCTGAGAGTGTATAGCTTGAAGGCCTGAAGAGGTGAGTTGACGACTAAAAAAGTGATACCCAGAATTATCCTCACACGGGTTTGCTAGTATTTAAAGAAGCACATGCATCGTTCAGAGTCTCACAAAGGAGCAAAGCGATGGTCTATTCGAAAAGCTGCATCGAGACAATTCCAGCACGACGATAGTTGCTCATTTTATACTCTATAGGACGGTACAATATTATCTTGCAGGAAATAGCATTATTTCGCAGGAAACATCACCCTACTCTCCGACAAAATTGTTGCGCAGGCGAAACAATGACGACATAAAATTTTCTTGGACGCTCTGTGCAGCTTGCACGAGAATTGCTCAACTAACATTTGGCGCTGTGGTATAAATCTGAAATACTAACTTATGGAATGAGAAATTGTTGCAGAATCTCAACTTCTACACAGATCGTGACGTGCAAACGTTAGAGTTACTAAAGTTGTTGCGGTTTGCTTGCAGCAGTGCGAAGTTATGGTGCTCCAATCAATTTTTTTACTACGACAAAAGCATCGACTGATCACTCACTCGCTCCTTCATAAACGTCATCTAGCTACATCGAGCAATTTGGGCCTCCTATACAAGGCGAAGACTTCAGACTGCATCAGGTCTTAAAGGATATTCATTCATTTGATGAAGCCTGTATAGCTTTCACGTTTGTGACCAGTATGGTCTCCTCGTCCTCGTTGAGATAAAAGCCACTTATGTTGCTTCTTTCAAGAGAAAAAGCCTAATTAGTTGAATGCTGTCCACAAATCAATGCGCCGGATGCGCAGACACATGAGGATCTCAGGGTCTTTAAATTCTATATCGCTGGTACGCTTTTGAGATTTGGGTCGCTCAGTATTCAGCGAATCCACAGAATGCTCGCAACCTTTGCGCAAAGTAGCACGCATCCTCTTAGGTTGACAACTGAACATTTTATGTATCGTAAATTGCTTAGATGCCTATTCTTAAAGACGCCAAGATAATTTCGGGACTGCGATGGCCCTCAGAATGCTCGTCAGCAATGGCATGTTCAAATTCTTTGCCGGCCAGAATCAATTAGCCAAACCTTGGCCCATTTTAGAACCCGTCAGGACATGTTTTGTGTATGATCCACATTGGCGCATGTCAAACCGATTGGCTTCGGCACAGCTCCACCTTTTGTTTCATGTTTCAAAGTTCCTCTACCTCTCAGTCAAAGTACAGCGAGCGATTGCTATCATAGCGCAATTTAAAGCAAAACTCGCACGTTGGCTTATTTGATACAACGTAATGCTTATATAAAATTACACAAGTCCTCTCGCGCTTTTTTCGTGCTTTTTTCGAACTTTACAAACGAGACAATAATCGACAATACGTTGTCCGAATTATGTCCCTCCGGCTCTTAATTGCTACGATCCTAAGTGTGTCGTCACTTCTTTCTTGAGCATATGCTCTTAAATTACAGCTGACGTATCAATCTTATTCCCATGCGCCTTCGACTGCTTGGTGATAGTAATCCTGACCATTTAGCTCTAACCTTAATTTTTACAATTATCTTGACCAGTAAGCTCTTATGTTAATATTGGAGCTAAATGGTCAAGATTACTAGCACCAGGCAGATGGGAAGAAGAATGCTGTATTTCTCTGTCAGTGAACCACATAAAACAACTACACATGACCTTTCGTATTAATCTGCATGGAACTTTACCTAAAATATGCACACAAATATCTCGTCGTGATATATCTCCTCTATATTATTTATTGCCCGTGCCCTAAGTCGCTCTGATTTCTGTTCTAAATAAAAATAGCGTATTGAGTATTAAGAAATTGCCAAAACCTACACTTTACTGTCATTTGGTATGCTGCATGAATTTGCTTTCTAAAATTAAATTTGCGTTATAAACTTTTACAGCATACTGTATCAGTCTTGAACAGCAGATGCGGTGTCAAACGCATATGATGCAAAGTCAAGAATATAAGTGGCTTGATGCGCTGTCTTTGCTTGTATTGTTTTAAAAGAAAAATAGCTTCAATTGACGCACATATATGGTAATTTTTCTTGACAAATCCAAGATTTTAAACCAACAATTTTGGCTTGAGTAACTACAAAATGGGTTAAAGAAGCTATAACACCATATTAAACATCATCTCATTGAGTCGACCCTTGTGTCTATGAACCGCACCCTCAAGAATTAGAATATATAGGAAGCATACTACCGCTTGATACAATGTATGGTGCAGACTGCAACATTTCCCCTCATAAAGAAATCATTTTAAGCTCAAATGAAGGAGATGGGCATTGTATCTCTGAAATATTCAGATTGTAAATACCGGTATTATAAAAAGGCGTTGCAAAGCTTATGAAAGAGATGCCTAATCTCATGATAAATGGGCACGATTGAGGCTACAGACGAATAACTTTCGCGACTACTGTAGAAATGCGCTTCTGCTCGGCCTTTACGACCATGCGATTACTCTAAGCAAATCGTGACGACGGACCCCAGCAAATTTCTTTTTCTATTCGATATCTTCAAAGTTCAAAAGGTCAATTCTTCTGTTGCAAGACGCTGCACACGTGGCTCGTTCGAGAAAATGATAGAGTTATCTCCAGACGAATGTGAAAGATGCCAGGATCTTACCAAGAAGCTGCTTGCCATAACTTTGCAGGACTGTGAAGAACTGGGTTTGGACACAACTTGCGATGGAGCTCATGCCAAGCTCGACAAGAGACGCTGGAAGAAACTTCAGTCGCAACGAGACGTCACGGTCTACGCCGATCGTAATGCTGACTCAGCGTGGCTTCCTGTTATGCGACAGAATGACTGGGAGAGTCCAATAGCAGTGATAGGTGTTGGACGAATGGAGTGTTCGCTGGAAGATGTTCTCTTCTCGCTGCTAACTCCAAACTCTGCTTCACAAAGACTACGAAGTTTTCTCATGAATCGACGACCTGATAAAAATTGCCAACTTGTTCCGATTGTGTCACCTACTCAAGAAGCCCCTTTGCAATCTCTTGCCATTTCGCGCTTCGTAAATGTGCAAAATTGGCCATTTACAATCTTTCAAAGTCCAAAAGAGATGGTAGTTGTCTTTGCAACGGGTGAGATCACTGCATTAAATGGAAAGCGATGTGGCTACGAGATGGTTCAATCTGTTACACTGCAAAGTCAGAGTCAACGAGCCCAAATGCCTCAATCACGAGCTCTTCAGGCGCGTATTTTCTGGGAACAGCCAGATGGCTCAATTGGTGTCTACAATAAATTCGTTGTCGACGCAAAATACCGATTGTCAGATTCCGTCAAGCAGCTGATGCTGTGTCGAGTCGTGATGGGATTCTGGAAGTATGTACCACGCAGTCTAGAGACGAAGAAATTATGGTGGTGTGTCAAAAACAAAAAGGAGCTGATTAACAACCTTCGAACTTATTCCATATCAAAAGATGAAGAGTCAAAGAGTTGTGAAAAGAAAGTACAAATATCGGATGATAAACCACACGCGAGGAATCGATGTGAATTTTGTGAGACTGGATTATGTGGAGGATCGAAATGCCGAGTTTCGTGCCAATTCACCATGTATTTAAGTAGTGATACTGGATTTCTTGAGCAGACATTAATGCTTTGTCTACGCTGTGCCGCATTTGTACGGAGCCAGAACTCAGGTGCTATCGCACGAGCTACACTTGAAGATCTGGAACAGAGTTCTTTCGGGAGCGCTCCGTAATTTACGAAAATAGAAAGTTAAGCTGATAAGTACTGTTAAATGTAATAGAGTTGTAGAAGTTAGTTTGAAATCAAAAGATGAAAGAAAAAAAGATTTTAGAGTGTCTCGGACTGTAGCCATGTGATTAAAATAAAATATTTATGCACGTTAATTGCTAAGAAAAACTAAATATACTTTCAGTTTGGGATGACATATGATATGCTCAAAGCTTGAGCGCACACTAATATAAATCGCACGCATTTTAGCTATTTTTGAATAACATTGCTGGAATGTAAATGTCTTACCAAATTTATAAAATGCCATGAGTCAATCGTGTGGGGCGGGCTACAAGCATGATCAACTCGCAGTATTGATAAAGCAGAGCTTGTTTACTTCGAGGTAGCAGTGTGTCTGCGTGCGCGATTTAGCATCCTCACTCTATCTGCTGCACAATTGCAGAATCAAGATATCTGATATGAGCGTTGTGCGTTTGTGTCCATTGTCAATCTACATAGGCTCAGATACTCGAGTTGATTAGCATAACATGAAGCAGCTTTTTGTCGTGAACATTTGATGTGTCATCTAATTCGCCATCTTGTCATCAATCTTACAAGCAGATAGCATATTTAGTCGTTCACTTGCATGAAGGTATCTTGATTGAATATAGGCAGCACAAGATGATACTGCAACCTTACCAAGATTTTTTTGAAGTTTCTCTGGATTCAACAAGAAGTGATAAACATATGTATCTCGACTGAAATTGCCTCGTAAATTATTTGTTGCTACAATCAACGCGACAGATGATCACATCTAACTATCGATGATCACAAATGCAGCGAGCGTCACTTAGCAAAAATCCAGCGTTCACTCTATCGTGATATGTGTATCATGAACAACACTACCTGGTTACACGATGGTGACATGGTTATACTATTTTACAACCTGAACAATAGACACCAATTATTACAGCATTTCGGCACAATGCTGAAACGAAGGCAGAACCATAGATTCATCGTTGTGTGTCTTTAAGAAATTGATAACTAGACACTGCTTCTTAAGCAGTTGTTGGCATAACGCACGGTCACTTGCGCACACAATATTGGTTATTTACAGAAATACCCGTTATCTCGAGTGCTCGTGAATCCAGGATGAGTTGAGCAAGTATTTACCATGACCAGAGCACTCAACGGCTAACTGCCAATTGTTCTTTTACGCAAATAATTGGTACTTAAACTTACAGAAGACTAAAGAGAAGAATTACTTTACTATGAATGCACTATATTAGCAAGAGCAAAGTTGGTGACCGAATGATGGCTATCTAGCTGTGCGCGCATTTGTGTGGATTCGAAAGCAAGGATGTGAGCTAAATTTTCAAAGTCGTAGCAGGGACGGCTTTTTTTTTTTCAAATGGTCAGTAGAGTTTTAAATTTCATACACAAAATCAATCAAAACCATCCAGAAGTCAAGCAGACCCAATTCAACGGATTGTCGTGCAACTAGCAAAAACACCTTTATACAACTAGCCCAGGCTATCAAAGGCACAGAGGATGATTTGTACGCTTCGTTCAGGAGCGAACTGAGGTGCTCTGAGGCAAATAAGTACTTGGTCTACTCAGGTTTGTTCAGAAGTAACATATGTTAAGGAATGAGCCAATTCAAATTAATACCCTACATATGTTTGACTGTGGTCAACATAGAGTCGGTATTGCATTGCAGCGGGGCTGCCGTAGCTCTTTGCTTCGAGGAAGCTCACTAAGGTCACCGACCTTACGTTCTATACCAGAATGTAGCGAATCGCAATCTGCTACTATACGAGAACCCAAAACCTTAAGTAAGACAAATACACTCTTGCGTTCGAAACTAGAAATTAAAACTACAGTTATTTGTTTGATTTGCGGCATCTAAAGCTTTAGGTTCTACTAATTAAATAGTAACTGGCAGTTCCGCCACGTAGTGGCTTCTTCTTACGGTGAAGCGACACCATTTGCCGACGAGGTTGAAAGACCGGGCTGTAAAGGAGTTGTCTCTGAATTTGTCGGTGATCTTGTCATTCACTTTATTTATTCTTGAAACGAAGCTGAGGGCATGCTCAAATTCCAGTGTAATTTGAATATTCATCCACTGCGCTTTCGTTGCGACATCATACTTTTCCCAAACTAAAAAAAATTTCCGAGTTTTCACCTCTCTGTTAAGCCACAATATACCATATGTTTTTGTCAATATGCGTGACATCTATTTGCGACCTTGTTGTAATATTGTCACACAGTACATCAGATCGCAGCAGCTCTGTTGCCCAACCTGAAGTAACTATTTACGCAGTCTTTTTAGTAAGTTGGTTGGCTCGATCTTGTGTCGACACTCTTGTTCAGACCCGACCATCTTCGAAGGTGGCGATCCTATTGATCTCATGTGATTCTATTTTAAAGCAACGACTAGTCTTGTAAGACTGGCAGGCATATTGCCAACCATCTTTGCTGGGCGGCTTAGTTTGCCACCAAATCAATGATTTCCGCCTTGAAAGGCATGCTTACTCGTTGGATGTACAGTCCACCATACATGTCCATACACCTACGATACTTTGGTATCTCAAAGTATTTAATACTCTCTGTAGTAGTAGTGTTATCGGTAGGGTTTGTCGTGTTTGCAAGTTTCAGCCTCGCCTCTTGCGCCTCTATAAGTGCTGTTTCATGCCATACTTAAAGGAAGCAGTGATTTGCTTCGTAATAAACCCTAAACCCTAGGACTGATGCCGTGATTTTTTTAAGGAATTGCCCGCCCGTATACACGCACTTACTGAGGAAGACTTAAGTCAGTTAACACGCCTCACTGCGTGTTGCTTACATCCAGCGAGCCGTTGATTTACTTGAAGGAGAAGGAAAAGATGAAGCGACAGTTATTATGGTCAATAGACCTTAAGCCTCCCTATAAAAATAAGTGCCTCCAGTTCTGATATAACCGAATTGAGGGATATAAAACTATACGGAAGACATAGTTACTGTTAGTCACGCCCATAAGTATGTGGTTCACACAACATGTGTAATGCATATTGCACCCCCCCCCACTCAAAGGTAGGTTTGCCCATATTCTCCTTAAACTTTCTCTGACTCTGCGGCTCGGTTTATCGTGATCCCTCACGAAATGACACGCATCGAAGGCGACTCCCGCCGGCAAAAAGCACAGAGCAAAACGTACCCCAATTAGAGGTGCCATCGCCACGATCAAACTTGGAAATGCTCCAACTCCACGTCGAATAGCGCTTTGCACATTGAGCCAAAACCTGGCATCAAACGACCAGGTTAGGCAGATGATGATTGTTATGATGAAACCATTGGCGAGATCAGATGTCCAATGTATCTGCGCTAACGTGAAATTGAAGGTCGTTACGAATTTTACGACCAACGAGGTGGGGCCCCTTAGATTTTTACGAACTCTCTAGTCGAATGACAACTCAAGAGATGAGTCGTATTTTCGTGCCATCGAACCGATTACACGTGCTGGTGGAGAGCCCTGAAGTTCTATGCACGTACCGAACATCCAGCAATCCAATTTGGATTTTGTCCGGACAATCGACACTCAGTTCTGGGCATGGGTTCGTGCAACCAAATCCGTGGATGCTTACCGTTTCGAAATGCGAAAACCGCTGCAGACCTGTTAAAGATGCGCGATATGTGGTTTCAATTTGCTCATTTAACAGCGAAGGATCGGGTTCATTCCGATATTGAGAATGCTCGCGGAGTATGTGCGATCATTAGTCGAAATCACGGAGAAAGAATGATTACGATGGGACGGATCCCCTAAGCGGAATCCGTATGTGACTCGCATCGAACGCGAAAACGATGTACAGTCGCGAAGGATACGACTACGAGGCTCTCACGTATTCTCGTTCGCTGGATATCGGAGTCATATCATCAAGAGATTCTTCCAGCCGCGAACGTTCCTTAGCGGTGTGAAGCAAACGTGGAAGCGGCGATGTTTTGGCTGTGTCTTGTTGGCTC